CAGGGCAGGCACCATGGGGCGGCAGCAAGGCGAGGGCTGCGCGCGACGGCCTTGCACGGTCCAGCACACACAAAGCAGCACAGCAAGCACCAGGCAGGTGCCAGCCTCCCGCTGCCACCGCCACCGCCCCACCAGCGTGTACACAATGTTCTGCACAACGTCGTTCAGCCCGGGGCACAGCCCGCCGCCTGCGCGGGCAGGCGCGGCAGCGGCGTGAGCTGCCGGCCTGCTGGCTGGCGGCACGGGCAGCCTGCGCAGGCCCACCACCCCGCCACCGGGATCCCAGCCCGGCCCCCTGCAGCTGCGCAGGCAGCGCTGGGCCCCGGCACCAGCCCTGGCTCCACTCACACGTCACGATGGCTGCTGTCACGTCCTTGGGGTTGTGATAGATGGTGCGGCGTGGACCCGAGCGCAGCGCAAAGTCGGGCAGCTCAATGGAATCGCTGCCGGCGGGGTCAAACAGGGCGGCCGCCATCTGGGGGCCGTGGTCGCGGTGGGAGCCTGCACGTGGCCGGGACCCACAGCCAGCAGGGCCACAGCCAGCAGGGTGGGTCAGCCGGCAAGCCGTGCTCCTCGGCGCCGCCTGAGGAGGCAGTGCCGGCAGCAGCCGGCGTGCCGCAATGACGCGCAAGGGGGGGGCCGCAGCCGCCGGCGTGCCCTCACCGCTGCTCTCCGAGCTCTCGTAGTTCATGATGTTGATGCGCACCAGGTCCTTGTCCCCGACTGCAACTCAACAACAACAACACGCCAGCTCAGCTCAGCTCAGCATGCCGGCAATCAGGCGTGTGGCGGGCAGGCAGGCGTGCGATGCGCCCGCTGGGCCACAGATGCTCACCAAACCCTGCCCCCGCATTATTCGTATCCACAAAAGGAGAGTCCTGCAGTCCGGAGGAGCATTGTGTGTCACCGAGCTGGGTGGCAGGTCACCAGCGGCCCTGCTCCCCCGCCAGCCCCACTTGCCTGCGGGCTCAGGTGCTTGCGCAGGTCCTTGATCTCCAGGAATTCTGCAACCAAAACAACAGCGTGATGTTCGGTTGCTGCCAGGGGTCCTCGCGGCCCTGAAAGCTGCCTAATGCATGGGCAACAGCAGCCCCTGCTGCCAGGGGTGGCGGCGGCGGCGGCTGGCAGCAGTGGCGGCGCACCCATGCCGTCTGCCCTGGCCACCACCGGGATGGAATCCACGCGTGGCAGCTTTTTGGGCGTCTTATCTGCCTTGGCTGGCGGCTCGAGCTCGGCGGTGGCCGCCTGAGGGTTTGCTGGCGGGTCAGCCCCGCCCTCCTCGCCTGCCATGACCCTGATCACGCGCCGACCGGCTGCCTCCCCTCCTACAGCCCTGGAGGGAGGGCGATGGCGTACGGAAAAGCCTGCTAGGCGCTCGGACACCCGCCCTAGGCTGCCAGTGGAAGGCAGCAAGACCATACGACAGCCTGGCCCTCTGGGCTCTCCTTGCTCTATATTATGGAGCGCCAAACGTTTAGGGTGGTCAAAAGGAACCCTGGAGAATGCCACCTGGGCTGCCACCTGGAATTGCTTGGGCTCAGCTGGGCAAGGCCTCGTTTCGAGCTGTGTACATCCTCCCCTCTTCTCGTCTAGAGGCCTGACACCTACGCCGCTGCAGTGTCAACAACCATGGGACTCGACGGCGGCACCATCAGTGAGTGGAGCTGGAAACGATCCCCTGTGCCCAGCGCCGCTCCCCAGTGCCACCACTGCTGCCGCCACCGCTGCCGCCGCTGCCGCTGCCGCTGCCTGCCACCACTGCCGCCTCCGACTCGGTGCCGCGCCACCGCCCGCCGTCTCCTCCTTGCTCCAGTCAGCAGGAACGATGTGCTGCGAGGCCAGTGCTGGGACCTGAACAAGGCAGACAACAGCCGGTCGTCGCGGGGGGGCGCCGTGCGTGGCATCCACAAGCGGCGCAAGCTGGACGCACAGACCTCCAAGCAAGTGGCCGGTGCCGGACGCTGCCCGCCAGTGCCAGGCAGCAGAGAGCACGCCCCGCATGGTGCCCATCTGCGTTCCAAGCATCGGTCGTGCCGCCTGTGCCCCTCCGCAGGGTCACCCGCTGGAGCACCTGTGCCCTGACCGGCCAGCCGCTGGCGCCGCCCATTGTGGCCTGCTTCCTGGGCCGCCTGTGAGCCTCCTGCCTCGACCTGCGCCCTGCCCTTCCTGCTTCCAGCTGGAGCCGCCATCATGCCTGCTGATGTGTGCCCTGCTGCCCTGCTGCCTCGCCTCCCAAGCCACCGCCCCTCCATGCATGCACCCAAAACAGACACACACACACGCACACACACACACACACACACACGCCTGCCCCCGCAGCTACAACAAGTCTGCGGTGCTGGAGTGGCTGCTGGCCAAGGCGGGGCGCTTTGCGGACGAGGCCGACGTCAACCGCTACCTCAACCAGCTGCGGGAGGGAGGGGAGGCGTTTGACCACATCGCGTCCATCAAGTGCGCCGGGGGAGCTGCCTGGAAGGTGGCGGGGACCGCTCCTGCCGGACATGCATGCGAGGGTTGTAGCAGGGCAGGCGGTTGCACCTGTTGGCCAGCCGATTGCCCTGTCACGCCACTGCTCCCGCCTGCCCCTCCCGTGCAGGGATGTGTTCCCGCTGCAATACTCGCCCGCCACCCTGGACGCGCCCGCCGTGGCCACCGCCGCCGACGGCGCCGCCGACCCCGTGCTGCCGGCGCCCTACACTTGCCCCATCACCAGCCTGCGATGCGACCGCTACCCCTTTGCGGCGCTGCGCCCCTGCGGCCACGTGCTGGCGGAGCGAGCGCTGAAGGAGGCGGCGGCCGACGGCACCTGCCCAATCTGTGGCGCCGCCTTCTCCGCCGCCGATGAGGATGTGGTGCCGCTGGTGCCCAGCGAGGAGCAGCTGGAGCGGCTGCAAGAGCTGCTGCCGCGGCGGCGCAAGCAAGGAGGCAGGAAGGATCGGCGGGGCAAGGGGAAGAAGAAGGGACAGCAGGGGACGGAGGAGCATGCCGAGCAGCAGCAGCAGCAGCAGCAGCCGGCAGGCAGCAGTCAACGTGGTGGGGCAGCAGAAGCTGCTGCTCCGTCGGCAGCTCAAGTGCAGCGGCAGCAGCAAGATGATTTGTAACCCCCATTCTTGGAAGCAGGTCGGCTGGGGCTCCCAGCGACCAGCAATCTGTTCACGTGGCACAACAATCAGTGGAGGCAGGGCCAGGGTCGATCGTCGGGCCAGGGCCGATCGTCGGGCTAAATGGAGCGCTGGAGGCGCTGGCCGGCGCACTCTGCGCTGCACATGGTGACTGCTCCCATGCGATGCCCCTCTGTTACTGCACTGCTTCTGCCGCCTCTGTTTGGCAAGGCCAGCTGCTGGTGCAAACCCAGGGGCGCCCCTCATTTCAAGCCACGTCTGATGCCGCCGCCACATGTCCAAGTGCTACAGCTGGAGCGCTGTCGCATGACGTTCAGCAAAGCAGAGCGCAAGCAGTACAGAAGGAGCACCTGGCTAGTACCTGGAGCGGCGTACGAGCCTGCTGGCATCCAACCCGCGGGCATTCAGTAGGTGGGGAACCCGGGGTCCACCTCGTGTGCCCAGGCCTCCATGCCCCCCACCACATCCACCGCGTGCGCCATGCCCAGCTCCCGCAGCCGTGCCACCGCCCGCTGCGAGTCGTTGCCTCGCCGGCACACAACGTACAGCGGGGGATGCGCCGGCGGGCGGCTGGCGCCCGCGGTCCCCCCCCCGCCGCCTTGGCCGCCTGATGGCGGCATGGAGGGTGCTCCGGCTGCCGCCGCCAGCCGCTCCCAGATGGCGTCCACGTGGCGGTCAAAGTGCTTGTAGGGCGCATGCACCGCGCCTGCAACACGGGAGGCCAGGGAGGAGCAGGGGGTCTGTTGAGTGCAGCCTCGCAACATCCCGCATGCTGTTGGGGGGGCGTGCTCGCTGCTCCTGGGAATGCAGCGGCACGCCACAGTGCGGCCACAGCAGCGCCGCCTGCGCACCCGGCAGGTGGCACACGTTGTACTGCTCTGCCGGCCGCACATCCAGCAGCACACAGCCCGGCTCACTGGCCAGCCTGCACAGGGTGCGCACACAAGCAGTGACATCGGCACGGCTGGGAAGCTTTCAGCAACCAAGCCGCCTGCCAGCACTGCCCTCCCGGCCTCCATGCCGCCAGGCACACGCCCCGTCCTGCCCAACCTCAGCGCCCTGTCCCCCTCGCACCGCTGCTGCAGCTCGGCGGGCGTAATGCGCTCCTCGGCAGCAATCAGCTGCAGCGGCGCGGGGGCCGCGTCGTTTGTGGCGGCCTGGCCGGTGAAGGCGGCATAATCGTATGCCGCCACGCTGGCAGCAGTGATGCTGGGGTGTGTGCTGCAGGCCACGCAGTTGGCAGACCTGCGGGCAGGAGGGGCACGTGGTGCCGCCATGGGGCCAACAGGTACAGAGTGCAGGCGACCGATGCCGCTAACCGGCCATGTCCCCCGCCCCCCGTCGCTGCCACGTGCGACGCCCCTCAAGAGCTTGCACAACGACACCGCCACCGGTAGCACCCTTGATCCACGCAGCCCTCCTCACTTGGCGCGCAGCTTGACGCTGTGGAACCTGCCGGCGGCGCAGTCGACCACCAGCAGGCGGCGGGACAGCGGGTCGCCCACGCCAGACAGCAGCTTCACCGCCTCCAGCGCCTGCACACCCGCAGCTCGACCCTCACCATCAAGCAGGCCCCAGGAGAAGTGCAGCGGGCACGCAACAGGTTGGGCATGCAGGAGGGAGGCGGGCTTGCCTGCAGGGTGCCGATGACGCCAGGGACCACCCCCAGCACGCCAGCATCCACGCAGCGGGCGCAGTTGCCGGCCGCAGGCGCTTCCGGGAACAGGCAGCGGTAGCAGGGGCCTGCGGCAGCAGTGGGGCGGGGGACACTTTTGCTCCACAGCCAATACCAGCTGCCGTGCTGACAGCGGCCCGGAACCAGGACGGGCCACAGCAAGCTCAGCAAGCGCCAGGGTTCATGGCCGGCTTTGCCGGCAGGACAGCAGCCAAGGGTAGCTGCGGGCGCACCATCGTGGCCGTGGCAGTACACAGTCAGCTGCCCATCGGTGCCGATGGCGGCGCCAGACACCAGCGGCCGCCCCACCGCGCAGCAGGCGTCGCTGCAGGCACGGTGTGTCGCCACGGAACAACACGGTGTGCTGCTGCTGCTGCCTCTGCAGGAGCTGCCCCACTGCTCCAGACAGACGCATGCAATGCAGCCAACAAAGGACAACTGCGTGCACCCGATGCAGGGTGGCTCGCCTGATGAGGTAGCGGGTGGGCGCATTGTCCGAGGCATCCACCACCACATCGTACTGCCGCACCAGGTGTACCGCATTGGCGGGGGTCAGCCCCTCCAGGTGCGTCTCCACCTGGATGCTGCTGTTGAGCGCGCGGCACGCCTCTGCCGCCGACACAGCCTTGTGCACCCCCACGCTGGCCTCCCTGCGGCGCGAGAGGGGAGGGCAGGTGGCTGGGTGACAGCAGCAGGCAGGCAACGCAACAGGCCGCGCAAGCAGCCGAGCAGCACGGCCCCAAAGCCAGCAGCCCGCCCGGAGGATGCGGAGCGCGCCTGTGGATGATCTGGCGGTGGATGTTGCTCAGCTCCACGCTGTCCTTGTCCACAACGCCGATGCGCCCCACCCCCGCCGCCGCCAGGTACAGCGCCGCGGGGGAGCCCAGCCCTCCCGCCCCCACAATCAGCACCGAGCCGCGGCACAGCCGCGCTTGCGCTGCAGGCAAGGCACGCGGGCGGCGCGGGGCGGCGGGGTGAGTGGTGAGCGCAGGGCAGGACAGCGGTGTGCAGCGGAGGCGGCTGCAGCCTGCCTGGTTCGCACCTTGCACCCCAAAGCTGTGCAGGACGATCTGGCGGCTGTAGCGTGCAATCTGGTCCTTGCTCAGGCCGTGGCGCAGCCCATCCCAGGCTGGGAAGCTGCCGGCCGCCCCATCGGGCGCAGCGGCGCCGTTGGCAGCGGCCGCCTGTGCTCCCTGCTGCCCCGGCCCTGCCACTGCAGCCTTCAGGCGCTCAACTTCAGCTTGTAGGCGCGCATTCTGCTCCCTGAGCTGTCCCAGCTCCTTCTCGCCAGACATGGCTGGGGACATGCAGCTGTGACAAAAGAATCAAGCCCTATTCCAGGGGTGACAGCCACCGTTTGCCCAATTGAGGCCTGCGAATTTGCCCCTGCGATTGAGCCCAAGGTCACTGTCCTGCTCAGTGTACGGCTGAGCTTGCAACCCCAACCCATCGGGCGTGGCAGGGGCCGGACCAATCATCCTGAAGCATGGCACACCTGCTAGCGAAGCTGGGCGAGGCAGCCGTCAGGTGGCAGCGCCAAGCGAACGGCTCGTGGCACAAGCCCCTCATTTCTGCAAAGGCAGGGCGAGCCTGATTTCAGTCATTGCCTTTTGCCGCCCCGCTGCACACGCAGCCCGCTCCCCAAGCCTGCTGAACCCACCCTCTGCTCGTGCTGGCCGCAGAATTTGGCACGACTGAGGAGGGAGGCGTTACTAGAGGGCGGGTGGGTGGCCCGCTTGGCGCTGGGCCCCGCGCCGCTGCCTGGCCTGAAGTGCTGCCGCCGCCCCGCCACCCCGACCCTGCAGCCTGTACCTTGCTGACGCGCCATGCCCCTTCTGCAGGGAGTGGCCGTATGAGAAGCCTGCGGCAGAGGTGCGGCGACGAAAGCCCAAGGGGCACAAGCACGACCGGGAGAAGCCGCTCAGGTGGGGGGACATGCATCGCCGCTGTCAGAAGGTGCTCTGCCCAGGCTGGAGGGTTGTGCGGAGGATATGAAAGGCTGGCGAAGCCACAAAGTTCAGTTGGTGCCTCAGGTTGCCTCAACTCCATGCTGCCGCGTGTTTGGTTGTGCAGGGAGGCAGCCATTCAGCAGAAGCTGGAGCAGGCTGACGCGCGGATAGCCGAGTACCGGGTGCGGCGCTGCTGCTGGGCTGCATGGGTTCACATGCCATGACAGGGGCGATGCAGGGGGCTGGGGTGTACAGGGCCTGTGTCGTTGAGGCGCTCCAAGCCCCTCCGTCTGGAGCCAGAGGCGCCTGGCTGATAGGTGGTGTGTTTTCTGCTCACGCCTGCAGACAAGGCAGCATGCCACGATGCGGGAGGCTTCGCTGGTGGACCGCCTGCTGCTGACGCCCAAGCAGATCCGACAGAAGGCCAAGGGCGGATGAGCTTTCAGCCTCCCCTCCCTCTTCAATGCTTTTGCTTTCGCGCCCCCACACTGCAATTCTTTGATTGAATGACTCGCTGGGCTCGGGCGCCGCCTTCCACGTGTCCTTGCCCGCAACTTGCTCCTCCTTTTTCCTGGGCATGAAAGTGCCGAGGGAAAAAACTCAAGCTGGCCTACTCAATTTTACTATTCATCAAAACTTTTGAATGCCGCTGGCCTGGACCACAGCTGGCTGCCCTTCTCGTGTCACGGCACATCACGTGTCAGGTTCACTGCCTACCGCGCTGTCTGTGTGTTGCGCTTATTGCTCCACCAGTCCCTCAGCCCTCACTGGGAGACCTTGTGCTGCTGGTGCTCGCGCAGCACGTCCACCACGCTGGCAAAGGCAAACCAGTCGGGGATGGGCTCGCCTGCGTGCGGGAGGGGTTGTTGGGGCAGGCGCAGGCAGGTTGGCCATCAGACAATGCCCATCAGAATGAACCAGCAGCCCCACACAAGGCAGGCGCTGCGGTGCGAGCAGGTCCCAGCAAATCCCATGCCCGCCCCGCTCACCGCTGCGCAGCATCTGCCTGAACTTGGTGCCGCTCAGCTTCTTCACGTGCAGCCCCTCCTTCTCCGCCACGTCCGCAGTGATGTAGCTGCACGCGGACGGGAGGAGGACGGCATGTGCCATTAACAGGGCATGTTGGGGGTGGTGGCCGGCCCAATACCAGCCGACGCCGGCCACTGCAGCGGCCGCCAGGGCCCGTTGTGTCGCCCGCAGTGCGCTCCCCTGCCTCTCCCTGCTCCCTCCCTCACCCCTTCTCCTCGGTGAACACCACGTTGAGGGAGGGCACCGTCTTCATGCCCAGCTCCTTGGCGTGGGACTTGGCAAAGTCCTGGGCATCGTACGCGCCTGCGCGACCACAGCGCAGCGCAGGCAGGATGGAAAGCATGCGTCGGGTAACGGAAAAGGAGCAACATGGCCAGGCGCTCCCCGCAATTGTGCATGCCCGCATGGGTGCGTCTGCAGCGGCGGCGCCGCCCCTTCTCCCACCACCGCCCCGACCGCCGCCCAGCCCCGCACCCACCGTAGAAGTCCTCGCCACTCAGGCTGGACTTGCAGCCAGCCATGTCGCGGCCGATGATGAAGTGGGTGCAGCCGTAGTTCTTGCGGATGATCATGTGCTGGATGGCCTCGCGGGGGCCCGCCATGTGCATACTGTAGGGCAGGTAGGCCCACCTGGCGGCAGGGGCAGGGGGCAGGGGCGGGGGCCACGGCAGGCTAGTGAGCTGAGGGGTTGCGCCAGCTCAAGGGAGGGCGGCACGGCACCAGCGCTGCGGCCCAGACACCCGAGGGTGGCGGCCGCTGCTCGGCAGGAGGGCCCGCATCCCGGCAGCCAGGCTGTACCAGCGACTGCTGCCACTCACTTGACGCGCGGGTTGTCCACCTCCTTCTGCAGTACCTCGTAGGTGTGGTACCGCACAATACCGGGGATGTCGTCATCCTGCCACGGGAGCCAGGGCGGGCGCGGGTGAGGCGGGAGCGAGGAAGGCGCGAGGGCAAGGCACAGCAGGCAGGTGGGCCCAGCAGACGGCCAGCCAGCTGGAACAGCTGCCCAGGTCCCCCGCTGGCAGCACGCGTGCGAGCGGCCCTCACCTGCGTGGGGCCGCAGGTGGGGTGCACCAGCACCACGCCGTCGCGGGCCACGTTGGGGGCGTCCAGGGCGCGGGTGAAGAGCTCGTAGTGGGCGCGGTGGATGGGGTTGCGGCACTGGAAGGCCACCACGTCGGTGCCAGAGGGCAGCCCGGCGCGTACCTCCTCGGGGGAGGCGCACGGGAAGACCCTGCGGTGGGAGAAGGGGCCGGGCAGCAGGCTGGGCGCCGCGGGGAGTGGGCTCGAGGCACGAGTTGGGCCGCGCCAGCGTCCGCGCCAGTGCCCGCAGCAGCGCGGCGGCTGGCTGGGAAGGTGGGCGGTCCCTGCCCTGCCCTGCCCTGCCGCGCCCGCCGGCGCGCCTCGCTCGCCCCCTCACCTCTGCGGCAGCTCAAACCCGGTGACCTTGCCCCCCAGGTAGAAGCGGCCCCGCTCCGTGGCCACCATGGACACGGCGGGGTGCTCCAGGGAGGTGGAGCCGTAGCAGCGCTGCACCTCCACCACCTTGTTGGGCTGCCAGCGCGAGTCCACATCCATCACCGCCACCTCCTGCCCCTTGTAGGTCAGCATGAGCTTGGAGCCGGGCTTGATGGAGTCGTTGGAGGTGTCCATCACCACGGGCAGGCCAAACAGCAGGCCGCCGGGCAGCCTGCGGGCCCAGGGGGGCGGGGGAAGAGGAGGGGGAAGAGGAGGCAAGCTCAGGGAAGGGGGCGCGGCGTGCGCGTGCGCCTGTGCAGGGCCACGGTGCGCCTGTGAGGGAGCCGAGCCAGCACTCCAGCCGGCACAAGGCCATCTTCAGAGCCTCCCCAGCCTCTCCCCAGCCCTGCCCTGGGCGGCGCAAGGGTGGCAGCCGCCCTCCCCACCTCATCTCCTGCACCACCGAGTTGTATGCCTCCTCATTCATGAAGCCATCCAGCGGGGTGAAGCCTCCCACCGTCAGCAGCTCCACGTCGCACGCCTGGCGCTCCGTCAGCTCCACCTGGTGGTTGCACCGGCTGCGCGCCTCCTCCGCAGCCTTGCTGCCCGCCATCAGGCTGACCAGGCCGCCGCCGCCGTGCGGCAGGATGTGGCCGTCCGCGCCACGCACAATCTTGCCGTCGGTGTCGGAGCTGAAGGCACGGGAGCCCGCGGCGGCGGCCGACAGCGGCTCCTTCACGCCCTGCAGCAGACGCAGAGGGGGGGGTCGCAAGCGGCGGCTGCGGCGGCGGTAAACCATGCACCCGCAAGGAACACGCGCAAGCCAGCCCAGCACAATGGGAGGCCGAGCAGGTATTTCCCACCAATTCCGTCTGGTCTCGACCACACAACCCTTGCTGCTGGCAGCAGGGTCCCTGGCCAGCTGCCGGCGGCCACCCGCTGCGAGCGGTTGTTGCCGAGCCGGCCCCATCTGTCCCCCACTACCAGGCCCCGCTGCCCACCTGCAGGAGCAGCGGCCGCAGGCCGCTGAGAGCGCCAATCTTGCGCAGGCTGTTGGCGAGCATCTTGCCCGACAGTCAGCCAGTTCTCCCACACTGGCTTTGAACGGGTTTGCTGGCACCGCCGGGCCGCAGGAGGCTACCTAGTGCACTGCAGTGCCGAGGAGAATGCGGTAAAAAGAGGCAAACGGGCCAACGCGCAGCATGCGCAGTTTTGCCTCCATCAGCACTGCCTGGCAAGGCGACACGGAGGCCAGGGCGCACGCCCCTGGGTGCTCTCCACCTATTGCAAGTCGCACAGGACCTGTTGCAGCTGTGCCAGCCACTGCATTCAACTCCTGCGCCCCGCAACCACCCCAGATTGGGCCACTGACCCAGCCTCCCTCAACAGCGGGCCCCAGCACCGCGCAGCCAGTCGCAGCGGCACGGCAGCTGCAGCGGCAGGGATGGTCTCAACAGCTGCAGGGCTGCCGTCAACCGCCACCGCCGCCGCCGCCGCCACAGCTGCCGCCATGGCCCACTCCAGCCAGCAGCAGGGGCCGCAGACAAGCGCGGCGGGGCTGTCCAAGGTGTGGGAGAGCTCCAGGTGCGCTGCTGATGGGTGGCACTTGGCGGGTCCACGCCTTTTCACGGCGTCGGACATGCGAGGGCGCACATGCTTGGAGCGCACGGCGGGAGGCCTCCCACCGCCGGCCCGGCATGCACGGCAGCGTGGCCCCCACCCTGCAACCCTGCTTGCAAGCAATCCTCCCTGGCCTCGCCGCAGCCCTCCCCTTCCACCGCCTGGCTGACCCTCCCGCCCACCCCACCCACCCCGCAGGATGTTTGTGGCGGGCGGCGCGGCGGGCGCGGTGGCGCGCACCGCCACGGCGCCGCTGGACCGCGTGAAGCTGCTGTTCCAGGTGCAGGCGGTGCCTTCGGCCGGCACCTCGGCCACCGCCTACACGGGGCTGGGGCAGGCGTTCCGCAAGATCCTGGCCGAGGAGGGGATGCGCGCGTTTTGGAAGGGCAACGGACTCAACATCATCCGGTGCGCCGTTGCGGCAGCTGGGCGGGCAGACCAGTGCAGGGGGTTGTGGCCGGATGGTGGGGCTGGGCATGGTAGTGATGGAATCAGGGCTGGGGGTGCAGGGGAGCTTTGCTGGCAAGCGCGCAGGCTGGAGTTGGCTCAGCGAGGCCGGCCCTGTGCCGCCCCCATTGTGCCGCCCCGCCTCCACCCCTCCCCGCTCCCTGCTCCCTTGTCCTCCCTTGTCCCACCCCGCCCCGCAGCATCTTCCCCTACTCCGCCGCCCAGCTGTCCTCCAACGACCAGTACAAGCGGCTGCTGGCCGATGAGCACGGCGAGCTGAGCGTACCCAAGCGCCTGCTCAGTGGCGCGTGCGCAGGCATGACCGCCACCGCTCTGACGCACCCGCTGGACACGATGCGGCTGCGCCTGGCGCTGCCAAACCACGGCTACAAGGGTGAGGTGGGGTGGTGGTGTGTGTTGGGGGGTGGGGGCGGAGGGGGTCCAGGGGCCCAGCCGGGCACTCTCCTGACCAACGGCAGGAAGAGATTGGGCCCCAGTTTGCGGGCGGGTGTCGACGAACCCAACCCTGCACACTCTCAGTTGCATTGGCCCCACCCACCCGCACCGCTGCCTGCCCCCCACGCCCGCAGGCATGGCCGACGGCTTCCTGACTGTGGCGCGCAGCGAGGGCATCCTGGCGCTGTACAAGGGCCTGGTGCCCACGCTGATCGGCATCGCCCCCTACGCCGCTCTCAACTTTGCCTCCTACGACCTCCTGAAGCGCTACGTGTATGACGCGGGGGACAAGTGAGACGGGCGGCGCCGGCCTGGCTGCCTTGGTTGAGGGGGCGGGGCGGGGGGAGGCTGCGCTGTGCCTGCTGGTGCGCCTGGCCCTGCACCGGCACCAGCTGCGCCGCCGGGCTGGCCGGGAAGCGCGGCACATGTGGGGCGGGGCGCGCAATGGGTCTGCATGTGCGCTTGGGTGGCCGGGCACCCACCTGGGCCCGCCTCCGCGCCGATCGTCACCCCCCCCGGCTCCCCTCCCTTTTTCGCCCGCCTGCCCTGCCGCCCACAGGAAGCAGCACCCTGCGGCCAACCTGGTGATGGGGGGGGCGGCAGGCACCATCGCCGCCACTGTGTGCTACCCGCTGGACACCATCCGGCGGCGGATGCAGATGAAGGGGGTGATGTACACGGGGCAGGTGTGTGTGTGGGAGGGGGTTGCGGTGGGCAGTGCCTGCTGGGAGCTCTGTGCCCGCCCGCCTCCCTGCTCCCCGGGGCCAGCCCTCTGCAGCGTGCTGGGCACCCCAGAGCAGCGCCTGCAGCCGCATGCCGCCCACCCCTTGCTCCTGTCGCCGCCTCCCCGCCCCGCAGCTCAACGCCTTTGCCACCATCTGGCGCACCGAGGGCCTGGGCGGCTTCTACCGCGGCTGGGCCGCCAACTCGCTCAAGGTGGTGCCCCAGAACGCCATCCGCTTTGTGTCGTACGAGGCGCTCAAGACGCTGGTGGGGGTGAAGCGCGCCAAGACAGACACGTGAGGGGGCGCGCGCCGCCGGCCCAGCCGTGCCGTGACCCCTGCCCGCAAGGGAAGCCCGTAGCGCTAGCTTGACACATGCCCGTAGCAGCACTGTGAGCTCCTGAGCAACCAGAATTGACAAACAACACCCCCCCCCTACCCCTGCCAATCTCTTCCCTGCCACAAACAACCCACGCAATACTTTGTTTCCATGCTACATCCCCTTCCCCCAGCGCTCCCCTCTTTGCCCCTCACTTGCTGTGCCCTCCCCTTGAAGAGGCAGCCCCTGCTGCCCATGTAAACCTTTGGACTGAATCCCAGGCAGCCACTGCAGCGGCAGGATCCACCAGCCGCTCTGCCAGGCACCCCTCCAGGCTGCTGTCAGGAAGGCAATCACCTCCGCCACCACCGCCGAATCGTGCCCCGCTTCTCGATCAGGTGTGGGACACACAGCTCCCTGTCTTCACCCCAGTACAGCACAACCGCTGCCCTCTCGCTGCCCTCCAATAGCGAACTTGCGACCGTATGGCGACACGGCGCAGCAAAGCCCCGGCTTTGGCAGCCGTGCGATCACTAGCTCTGCCTGCCGGCTGCTGCTGCTGCTCCCAGATGCTGCCGCCTGCTGGTTCCACACAAAGCTGTTGCTTTCGTGACCGCTACTGACCCGCGCAGCGGGTTGCTGCCGCCGCCGCCGCCGTGGCACTGCAGGCTGATTGTCGCCTGCCTGGCCTCCCAGCTTGGCTACCTTCACTCCTGATCGCGGATAGAGCATCACCTGTGTCTGGCGTTTGCCACTGCAACCAAATCATCGGTCGCTGCAGCGGCAGAGCACACATGTGCCCCAGCCGGCGAACACCAGTTGCTATGATGTTCGGGAGAACAGGCAGAGATTGCCGAAAGCCGATCAGGGCAGGTTTCCTTTTGCCCTGCTGGCAAGTTGCTTTTCTCCCTCCCATGGGCCTCTCAGCCGGCAGGGCGCATCCTGCTGAACCGCGGCGCATCCCGGCATGGCGTCATGGGACGCAGCCACGCCGGCGGGCCTTGTCTCGATACTTGACAGCCCAACATGGCCCATCTCCAAAGTCTGCCAGGCCGTGGAGGACTGCATTCTGGCCAACGGGTGCGATCATGCACGATTGAATCGAGGCTGTCTCCTCCTGCGCAGCCTTTGCACTTAGTGTCTGTGCTGCGAGCCTCTGAAACACTGGGAACGGCCACGAGGTGTTGCCCTGCACCCGGAATTCGCATCGATGCCCTGCCGTCCCCCCGCCATCACCCGCCAATGTCATCACCCGCCGCCGCCTACCCCGCTCTGCAGCGACAACCTGCGTGGCTTCTTTGAGCAGTGCTTCCCCACCCTGCTCAAGCGCCTGTTTGGCTACGATGGCACCTCCTGGCTCAACCTGGTGGCCCGGGTGAGCAGCCGCCGCGGTCGCGCGCGGCACGGTCAAACCCCGCGGTGCCGTCTGGCCGCTCGGCCCCGCGCCAGTCGACCCCTGTGTGTGCGCCCCGGCCCTCCCACGCACCCGCGCCCCGCCTGCAGAGCCCCAAGGAGGCGGACGCCAAGGCGCTGCTCAAGCTGCTGTCCCCCGGCGGCGTGCTGTTCACCGCCATGCACAGCGCCGACGCCGACGGCTCCACCCAGTTCTTCTTCCCCAAGGAGCGCCTGCCCACCCACACCCAGATGCTGCTGGCCTCGCCCGCGGGCCGCGCGGAGCTGGAGAGGTGGCCGCAGTACGGGCGCGGCGCGGTGGTGGCCGACGCCGCCGGGCGCTGCCACGTCAAGCTGGGCGTGTTCCAGTTCTTCCTCTGCTGGTTTGCCTTCTACGTCATCAAGGGCGACGGCGGCGGCATGGACGCGCAACTGGCGCGGCCCCAGTCGGCGGGCCTCACCAACTCTGTGCGCAAGGTGGGGCGGCGGCGCGGCGGCGGGGGATGGGCCTGGAGGATCTCGAGGCGCAGCGGCGCCCCGGTGTGGGGGCTCCCACACTCGGGGCCACACGCTCGCTGACCTGCCTCGCTGCCAGCGACGGTGAGACACGCCGCCCTGGCTTCCACCACCCCCTTTGTGCCCCACATCCCCGCTCCCCCCTGGCCCCAGGCCGCCGACCTCATGCACCTCACGCGGGGCGGGCGGGACAGCGAGGCGACGCGCCACCCCTACCTGGCCGCCCTGCGACAGTTCCTGCTGGACCTGCTGCCGCGCCCCTCCGGCGCCGCGCACCTGGCCGCCGCCGCCATGCCCGCCAAGGGTGGGTGTGCCGGGCGCGGCTGCCTGCGCTTCTGTGGCCCCTCCCTGTCAGCCTCCACCCACACCTTTTTCATCCCGCTCCATCATGCGCCCGCCTGGCGCTCACTGGTGCTGCTGCCACCCCCGTGCAGGGGTGGGCGGCAGCCCCTACTTCCGCGCCCCCTCTGCCGCCAAGCGGCAGCCCGAGGGCGCGTCGCGGGGCTCCTCCTTCTACAGCGTGCTGCTGGAGTTCTGGGTGACCGACGGCGACGAGCCGGTGCCGGTGGCGGCGCAGGGGGGCGCGCTGCCGGCGCAGCCGTCGGCGGGGGGAGCCATGTGGTGAGCGCCTGCGGGCGCCTGAGAGTGCCTGCTTGGGCCTGCCTGAGCCTGCGGGTGCCTGCTTGAGCGCTCATTGGCAGGATGGCCCTGTAGGGGTGGAGGTGGAGGCACGGCACGCCGCCTTCAGTCGCCCACCGCCGCCTGCTGAGCCGCCGCCTCCCCGACCGCCTGCCTGCCCTGCGTGCGTGCGAGCAGGGGCACCACCTACGAGCCGCCGTCTGAGGACCTTCTGGAGGCTCTGACGGAGCTGGTCAAGTATGCCACGGTGGCAGACAGCGGCAAGCGGCAGCCCGCCCAGGGAGGCCCCCCCTGGCTGCCCATGGCCCAGCTGCACACGCTGTTGCCGCCCGCGCTGGCGGCGCAGCGCGGCGGCGGCGGCGGCGCGCCGGCGGTGCCTGCCATCCTGGCGGGCCCCTCCCGGCTGGGCGCGGCGGCGCAGCCGGCGGCGCAGGCGCTGGCGCGCCGCCTCTACCGCTTCTTCCGCCGCGCCATCACGCTGTGGCCTGAGCAGCGCAGCATCAAGCCGCTGCTGCGCTGCCTGCTGGCCTACCTGGCGCCCTGGCGCGCCTCGGGCGCCGCGCCCCCGCTGCTGCCCGGCGGCGCCGCCGCCGCGCCGGGGCACAGTCACCTGGCCTCGCACCTCACGGCACAGGTCACAGACCTCGTGCACCGCGTGCACTGGGCAGACGGCGGCAAGGCCGACGGCGCCAGCAGGTGGGCGTGGCAGGGGCCGGCGCCGCCGTGGCCACCTGCAGAACGTGCGGGCAGCTGCTGTGGCCGACGCAAGCACCGCTGCGCTCGTCAGCACCACCCAGCCTCACACCTGCCTCACCTTCTCTTGCCACCCGCCTGCCGGTCCGCCTGCCCTACCCTGCCCTGCCCCGTGCAGCTACGGCCCGCAGTGGGATGCCCACGTGCTGTGCAACCTCCCCTTCTACCTCACACTGCTGCCGCTGTTCCTGGAGGCCGGCGTGCCGCGAGTGGAGGTGCGCACGCGGGGGGCGACCGCGCCTGCGGCACGAGGCAGGGGGGCCTTGCCGCGGCCTGCCCTCATCTGCTGTCGTGGCCCCTGCTGTGCGGCACGGTGCCGCGCGGCTGCGAAGACCACACCCCACCACACCTCCACACGCGCACATGCACACATGCACACATGCACACATGCATGCACTCCCGTTGCCTCCCACCCCTGCCCCCACCCCCACCCCCACCCCACCTCGCCCCGCCACCTCCCTTGCAGGTGCGCGGCGAGTCTGCTGCCCAGGACCTGGTGAATGTGCTGGGGGTGCTGGAGGGCGCCCCAGAGCTGCGCAAGCTGCTGCAGCGCGTGGAGCGCGACCTGGCCAAGTACGCGGCCTCGCAGCCGCGCCGCGCAGACGGCGCCTACGCCGACCTGCTGCCCTGGCTGCTGGAGCAGGGCCAAGACTGGGAGCTGGCCGCCACCGCCAGCTGCTCGGGCGGCAGCCCGCTGGTGCGGGTGAGCAGGGAGGTGGCCGGCGCGCGGCGTGGGCGGCCGTGGCGCGGAGCGCATCCGCGTCCCGCTGGGGGCGTGTCCCGCCGCGTCGCGCCACGCCCGCTTACCCGCCACCCTTGGGCCTCGCCCCGCCTCCACTCGCGCGCTGCGCCACCCCTCTCCGTTCCCTGCCCTTCACCCGCCCCGCGCTCGCGCGCACGCAGGCCGCCCCCACCTTCTCCCTCTTCTCCACCGCCGAGGGCGGCGCCGCCTACGTGGCACGCGACCTGCTGGAACTTTCCTCCCACTTCTTCAAGCCAGATGTGCAGCGCCGCCTGCGCCGCTGCCTGGAGGCCTCGCTGCCCCTGGCCGCGCTGCCGGCGGCGGCGGCCGAGGCGGGGCGGGCCGTGGAGGAGGCGGCGCAGGACGAGGCGGTGGCGGTGAGCGGGCGGGGGTGGCAGTGGTGGAGGGGCGGGCTTGGCGGGCTGGCAGACGGATGGCAGGAGGGGCAGGGGGGCCAGAGGGGTGCCCCTGGATTTGCCAGCTGGGCAGGCAGCCTGCACAGTGTGCCGGGGCCGGCCAGCACAGCAGTGTCTTGGGTGCCCCCTGCCGACGCCAGCCCTCCACCGCGTGCCGCCCCCCTGCCGCAGCGCCTGCCCAAGAGCAGCTGGCGGGACGTGCGGTACAAGGGCGACCCCATGCTGCGCCCCATCGCCTCCTACGAGATCGGCCTGCTGGTGCGCCTGCTGGTGGCGCTCAGCGTGCGCCTCAACGCCGCGCTGGGGCTGGACAGCTGGCAGCGGCGGGGGGCGGGGGGCGAGGAGGAGCCTCCAGAGGACCGTGTGCAAGAGGTGCTGGCGCGGGCGCGGCGCCGCGGCCTGCGCGTCAACCTGCGCCCGCTGGCAGACGTGCGCAACCTGGCCTGGATACCCATCGGCTGGTTCCTGGTGCTCCACACCCTGCGCTTCCTCACCTGGCTGGTGCTGGCGCTGGCCACGGGGCCCGGGGAGGGCGCGGGCGGCGGCTACGCGGCGCAACAGCGGCAGTACCGGCAGCACGGCGGCGGGCAGCAGCAGCACCACCAGCGCCACTAGCGGCTGAGCATTGTACGTGTCTCCGAGTTTGCTTGATTGCATACCAGGTTGCCGAATGCTGCTAGAAGCACGCTGTGTGATGGAGCAGTGCCCATGAAGAGGGATTCTGGGAGAATAGGAGAATAGGTTGTAGTTGGTGATACAACGAGGCAGAAACGACAATTTAAGCCAAAGGTTGGTGGGTTCCATGCAAACTTGTTTGCATTTTGCGGCGGCGCAGCGTGGCATAGCGCAGCACAGCATGCCACCTCTCCGGCGGGATCAGGCGCCTTTCGCTCTACATTTATTCCCAGCCCTCGTTTGCACGCGGGGCGCTTGCGTGGGAGCATGGTTTAAGTGTTTGTTAGCGAGTGCCCAGTTGTCTTTGAAACCCAGTCGGTGGTAGAGGCAGCGTTCGCTCCCCCGTCGGCCATGGATCCCCGATACGCAGCTGCCCAGCTGCGCCTGCGCCAGCACACAGTCCTGCTGCTAAACGAGAAAGGCCTGCGGGGCTCCCAGCTCAGGGAGGCAGTGAACAGCGCTGCGACACAAATGGGCCTGCCGTTGACTGCCATCCCGCACGATGTCGCCAGGCTGGTGGCCGCATACAGCCAGCCGGCGGCGGCATCGACGGCGGCGGCGGATGTCGCCGCCCGCCAGCAGCTGGCGCCAGCTGGTGCAGCCCAGGCTCGCAACCCCTCAGCCCAGGCACAGGCCGCCTCGCACCAGGAGCAGCTGCGCATCTCTATGGAGCGCATACAGCGTGCAGCCCCCGTGGCGGCGGCAGCAGCAGCAGCGGCCGCGGCGGCAGGCCGCACGGGCAGCAGCCAGCCACCCACCTCTGCCGAGCTGACCGCCATGCGGGCCGCATACCTGGCGCACCTCAACGGGGCCACCTCCGGCGCCACCACCGCGGCAGCTGCGGATTCAATGGCACGCAAACAGAAGAAGAAGCGCAAGTCGGCGGCGGATGCGGCGGGCACGGCGGCGGCAGCGGCGGCAGGCGAGCCCATGGTGGAGCTGGAGGAGGAGGAGGACATGGAGGAGGGCGGCGCAGTGGTGAGGCGGTTGGCTGGCAACAGCGTGCTGGCCAGGGGTGAGGGACAGGGCGGCCGGGGGCTTGCGTGCACCGACCCGGCAGCCTGCGCCTCGACTGGCCGAAATGCAACATGGGGCAAGAGCTACAGCAGGGCATGGCAGACCTTGCCTGCCCGGCCCCGAGCTGCTCGGCCAGGCGCTGGTCAACCTTACGCGTGCTTGCTTGCTGGCTGCAGGGCACGGATGAAAACGAGGATGGCCACACGGTGAGGCATTGGCGGCGGCGGCGGCGGCGGTGGCAGCCGCGCGCTGGCTGCCTCTTGCCGGCGGCCCGCTCCCTGGTGCGCTGATTGCCTGCCTGCCGTGCCCATGCCATGCCAATGCTTTCCCCCTGTGCCGCAGTACGCTGAGTACCGCGCCATGCAGATCCGCGCCATGCACCCAGACATCATGGGCCACCCAGGTGGGGCCACCCTGCTGTGCCATGCCATGTCATGCTGTGCTGTGCTGTGCTGCGCTCTCGCAGCAGGGGCCTGGCTGGCAGAGCTGCCGCCACGGGCACGGTGCTGAGGCTGGCTGGCTCAGGTGCCGAGGCGCGTCCCCGCTGGCCTCCCCCCCCTCTCAATTGTCCTCCCCGCAGATGCTCTGGTGGAGACTGCCTCGCTGGCCTCGGTGCCGCTGCCCGCCCCCTCCTTCCAGCACAGCCTGCACGACTGCGTGGCGGAGAGGCTGCTGAGCGACGCGCAGCTGGAGACGATTGTGAGCCGTCCGGGGTGCCGCAGCCAGGGTGGCGGGGAGTGGGGTGCCGGGCGCTGCGCGATGCATGTCACTCCTCGCTGTCCCATCCTTGCTGGCACGTATCCGGAGCCTGATCCTGAGGCCTGGGCCTGAGGCCTGGGCCTGAGCCTGAGCCCCCTCTCCCCTCCCCCTCTCTGCCAGGTGTACGCCAACATGAAGTTCAACGGGCCCCGCCTGCCCGACGGCAAGCGCGCCGGCTTCTTCCTGGGCGACGGTGCGTGCCGTGCCCTGCCGCGCCACCACGGCCGCTATGCTGCGCTGCGCTGCGCCACGCTGGCTGCCACGCTCCACTTGTAGCCTTCGCCAGCGCACCGGGACTGACAGCGGCGGCAGCGCTGGCTTCCCCCGCGCACCTCCCGCAGGCGCGGGCGTGGGCAAGGGGCGCCAGATCGGGGGCCTGATCAAGCAGCACTGGGCGGACGGCGGGCGGCGCGTGCTGTGGGTGTCTGTCAGCGCCGACCTGCGCCACGACGCCGCCCGCGACCTGCGGGACGTCAGGGCCAGCCGGATACCCATCTGCCCTCGGGTGCGGTGCGCCGGCCTTGGGGGCGTTGGACGCCCTGCGCTGCGCTGCGCCCGCGCTGCCTTGGCCGTGCCTGCTGCATGCTGTGGGGCCATGCACTCACTCCTAGGCAGCGCTGGAGCTGCACCCCCGACCCCTCCCTGCCTGCCCTTGCCGGCCTCCAGGGCAGCGAGTCGGTGCCCACTGGGCGGGGCCTGGAGCGCTTTGGCGACGGCTGCCTGTTCATCACCTACTCCCTGCTCATCTCCGGCCTGGGCAGCAAGAAGGCCAGGGGGCAGGACGAGGAGGAGGGCGAGGCGCAGAACGTGGAGGCGGGCCGGCTGCTGTGAGTGGCCGCGCCGGGGCTAGCCTGCTGGTATCCAGGCAGCATGGCTGCTCTGGTAGCCGGGGAGGCAGCATGGGGAGGCGTGAGTGGGACCCACGCCCTGCTTGCCTGCCCGCCTGCCTGCCCGCAGGGTGCCGCCCGGAAGCCGCCTGGCGCAGATTGTGGCGTGGCTGCAGGGCGGCAAGGGCCAGCCGCCGCTGCTTGTGTTTGATGAGGTGACCGGATGAGCGGCAGCAGGAGGGGGCAGGAGGGAGCGGGGGAAGGAGGCGGCTGCTCGCTGCGCCAGAGTGCTGCGGGCGCACTCTGATGAAGATGCTGTGGTGCTGCGTCGCCGCACCGCTGCCTGCAGTGCCACAAGGCCAAGAACCTGCTGCCCTCGGGCGGCGCGCAGCCCACGATGACGGCGAGGGCTGTGGTGGAGATCCAGGCGGGTGGCGCTGGGGGCTTCACAGCATGTAGCCCAACCGTCGTGGGGCGCCGTGCTGCTGTGCATGCTGTGGTTGGGGCTGCCGCCGCCTGCACCCGCACCAGCGGCAGCCTGACGTGCTCCCCCCCTTCGCTGCCCCTCCCCTGCTGGCCTCTGCCGCCGCCTGCTGCAGGAGCAGCTGCCGGATGCCAAGGTTCTGTACAGCTCCGCCACCGGGGCCTCCGAGCCCAAGAACCTGGCCTACATGACGCGGCTGGGGCTGTTTGGCTTCAAGGACGCGCAGGACATGATCGAGCTGCTCAGCAAGTGAGCGCCCCTGTGTGTGTGTGTGGTGGTGGGGGAAGGGAGGAGGGGCTGGAGGCCTGTGGGGGTTGGTGGGGTTCTTCCAGCGTGGAGCGCTGCCGCTGCCCCACTGTCACTCACACCTGCCGCACACCCCTTGGCTCACACCCAGGTCCAAGCTGGGAGCCCTGGAGCTGGCTGCCATGTCGCTCAAGGCCACCGGCACATGTGAGGAGTCTGTGCGCTGCGCTGCGCTGTGTTTGTGCTGCCGCCTCCTGGCTTGCGCCTCCCGGTAGGGTGGGCTGAGGCGCGCATGCCAACCTCCACCCCTCCCTGCAGACCTGTCGCGCACCCTAAGCTACGCGGGGGCCGAGTTTGCGCTGGGGTATGTGGATGTGGACGAGGTGTTCAAGGTCATGTGAGTGCGCGGGCTCGCTGCTTCACTAATACATTGTAAATTCATGTAAAATTCATTTGCTTGCTTCTGCCCACGCCCCTTGCCCGATCAACCAAGGTAAGCCGCATCCCTGCTCATCGCCCTGTGCCCCCCTGCCTCCTTGTGCCTGCAGGTACGACAGGGCCACCTCCTTCTGGACGCTGCTGTGGTGAGTGGCGCCCGCACGTCTTCCAATCGCTGGCGCAGACGCTACACGAGGCGCTTCATGCCGGTGCGACAGTGGACACGCTTCACGGCGACCCCGTCCCCTTCTGCTGCCCCCCCCCCCATCCTGCGCTTGCTGGTT